GAAGTCGCGGGCACCAGCTAGTAAATCTATATAAATAACAATCCAATTCATTCATCATAAACACAAAAAAACTTGACACATTCGAACCGTTCCATTGAACTATTTTCAGTTCAGGAAATTGGACTTCCAATGTAATTAAGTCAAACTACGCTAAAACAGATAAGTACCGTACAAATAAGGTGTACTTTGGAACGCATAAATTCTACTCGTAGAGGATTGCCCCTTCTAATCGTTTTTCGTTAATTGTGAAAAATCTTCACTGTGTCGTGAGTCGATTAATTCTTTACTAACTACAAAAGGGATCAGTTTGACCTGTATGTTTGTGAGTATTTAGGTATGATATTGCTTCGTACGTATCCTTAATTTCGTAAATATCGTCCACAAATTGCAAAGTATTTTACATTCACAAAATTCCTAATCTACATATTAATAATAAATCTAATAATAATATCTCCCTGTGGCTGTGTACCTTTGACGCTGGCAGCATTTCCTCGCTGCATTGCAATACTTTTACGTTGTGCGAGGACAGCACCAGCTCTGGGGTCACCGGTACTATCTATCAGGTGCCAACTTAAATATTTTAACTTGAATCTTTAGGTTAGGAATATTAAATATTTAAAAATTTAAGTGTTGGAAATAAATATTTTATTTGAATCTTAAAATTTACATTTTAAAGATCTAATTCCTTTATTCAAACAATAAGATTTTCGTATGAAATACTGCAGCCTTGTATGACGTTTATATATGATTTAAAAAATGCATTATATGACCAGCTGCCCCCGCGAACTTCGTTTGGAATAAATATGATATTTTAGCTTAGCCTATATGTTTAGTAGCTACATACCAACATATGGAACATTTTTCTATGCTACTCCAAAGAAACTGTGAAAAAAAAGAGACGACGACTTCTCCTACGGTTATGTAATTTCTGTATGATTTGACTCTCTTTTAAATTTGACTAAATCTCATAACGTCTCTTTTTTCATAAACCAGCAATGACAGTCTATCTATCTAAGATGCTTTTTCTACAAGACTAAACACTGTCTGAGAAAATTGGGGTAACAGACCTCTCCTCAATTGTATTCCGTTGATTGTCAGTCAGTGCTACGCCCGTTGCTAATGCGTTTTTTATTACCACTCTCGTTCGTTGCTAGAATATCCCAATGTTAATCCATAACAGACATTTTTATCGCATTAAGGACGTATTAAGTAGTTTATAACGCAAAACTATATAAAAAATCAAATAAATCAGTGGCGCTACAAGTTTTTAGATCTGTATCTCTGGCCTCAGATATCTGTATCTTTTTCATGATCACATGTCAATCTAATAGGCAATTAGGTGATCAGCCTCCTGTGCCTGACAAACGCTGTCGGCTTTTTAGCCAGCCGGTTTCCCCACGATGTTTTCCTTCACCATTCCAGCGAATGTTAGATGCACACATAGACAGAAAGTCCACTGGTGCACAGCCGGGGATCGAACCTACGACCTCAGGAATGAGGGCCGCACGCTGAAGCTACTAAGCCTACACTCCTCGTATAACTATAAAATTGAATCTCAAATTGGTGTCATTGAGATCTGGATACATTTAATTCTGAATTCATTTAACCAACTAACACCAAGCAACGAAGAAATAATTTAATAATTGTATATAATTCAACGACATTTCATCTGATACAACTAAGCAGACAAAAAAACAAAACAAATATCTTGTTTACCAGTACACGACTCCCGTTTGACCTTAATAAATGGTAGCTTCAATTGAATTAATTTCTGCAAATAGGTCGTTGGTATATTTTACGTTGTACTCCATTTAGGTTGGACTGTAATTGTAATAGATAGCTTTTGCAATTTGTATTGACATTTAGAAACGTATGTTTATGTGAAAATACTCATGATGAATATTAAATATTTTTGACTGAAATGTATATATGTATATTGAAATCCAAGAACACGATAATTTTAATCAAAATGGGCTCAATCCAGCATTATGTTGATGTCAGCAGCAAATTGGATTTGGGCTCATACTATATTGGAGCAAATAAAATAATTAAGGATATCAGATTATAAGGAATCTTTTTTATGTTAAGTATTCTTCGTGATGTTATTGCCATTATATATATTAGATTACTAATTAGTAACTAAGTAATTAATAAATTAGATAAAATAAAAATTACAAAGCAGTGTCAAATTGTTTCCGTTTCGTCTATAATTAGCCAGTAAGCATTTTTAATTAAACTAAATTCCAGTTACAAGAGATACACAAAACCTAATGATAATAACAATTTGAAAAGTAATTTCTATTTCCGTTAATAAAATGTCAATTCGATTGACCCCGGGTACCCCTATTCAAATGTAAATTGAAAAGCCTCTCCTGAAAGTTGAAATTCAGTTGATAGCCATGTTTGGGGCAAAACCGCTAATTTATTTTGATATTTAATATCATCATTTTAAGGTGCAAATTCGATCAGCGAGTCTCAGAACTTGTTGCAAAGCTATGTCGAGATTGGTATCTGAATATATTTCATAGCTTTAAAATATTGGTCGGGTTTCGAATGGCGAAGCATTCCCGATTACACCTGAGTTATTGTCTGCATTATTTAAGTCGATTTCCATTTCATATTTTGGCACGTAGAAAGTCGAAAGCTTTATATTGCTAAGAATCCAAGTTGAACCTTTTCATTATTTTCCAACTTTATTAAATGAAGAGAAACGTCGATGGAATATCTGAAGAACGTCTGAAACTACGTGATGTGTATATTATATTTATCGTAATATTCTACTCCAAATCAAACATGTGCATTGAGTAAACTTTCGGAAAATGTTCTTATTTTAAACTTCGAAAATAAAGCTCGAAAATCCGAACGCGTTCGATTTGTTACAACGTACATTTTCTTTACGAAACAGAACTAGTTTTACGTGCAGAAAAACCTGTTAAAATGCTCCGAGAATTCACATTTGTGGAAAACTATTTCCATACCAACGTTGTTATGATGCTATCAAGAACTCGCGCCAGCCTAAGTTTTTTCAATATTAAAAACAAATATAAAAGCGAATGAATGAGCACGAGTTGCACTCGCAGATATGAACGAATGAATGAAAACGTTTAAGAGCGAATGTAATTATGCCTTCCATTCACTCTCGGAAAACAATTGATGCTCATATATTTTGTTGTTCATATATTTTTTAGTAGAAACTGAAAATTTTTATAAAGTCATGGCGTATTCATTGAAGGTAAGTGTATTGTGACAGTCAGATAAAACATTATATATACCAGCAGACCCGGCCAAGCGTTGCTGTAGCTAAAGTTTTTGTTATATTACATAGTAGTAAACTATCCAAGGGAAACGGTAGGAGAACACCAGTCATGGGGAGCATGCTTTTTTGGTGGTTGGCATCATTACATTGTAGCTTATGTGAAACGTTGGTACTTTCAACACAGCGCCATCTGTTAGTTATGACTGTCAAATAATTTACAATAAAAAAATAATGCGGGTATAAATTAAGATGTAAACTATCCTATCTTTTATGTTAGATCAAACTGCACACGATGTACAAATTTGATTGAAATTGGTTAAGTATCTTAGGAGTCCATAGCGGACAAACAACTTGACGCATAATTTGTATATATAAAAATATATATTGCGAATCTCTGTATCCTGGTCATAATATTATTCTTAAAAAGCAACGGACGAAGTTTATTGCTACTTTTTTAGAGCAAGACTTTAAAATTTTCACAAATACATAAAACAGTATTTGTCTATTCACGACTTAATCAAAAATTTTGATATTAAAGCTATTTATACGTTTTTTATGTTCTTAATACACACACAAAAGTCAAAAAGTGAAAATCGTAACAAATAATCGGTAACACAATGTACACTTATGAACGTCAAAAATACATATTAAATGCTTCTAATTTTACATTTACTGACAGTTCTCAAATCAAGGGCTTAGAACGGAAAAAAAGAACTGGCAATCTCCGCCACACGAGCAAGTTGGGTCATTTAGAATTACGTGTTAACCTAAACTAACCTAAATTTTAATATAATTTTTTAAACCTGATAATCCTAAGCATTCTAATATGCTAACATTATTCCATATAGAACTTTAATTCAACACATCAAGTCTTTAGAGTAATTAGAAAATGAATAGCACTCTATTAATATATTTCGTCCTAGTTAGGGCATAGTGCTTTCATTTAGTGCCTAATGTAGCGTGGATGCGCCCGGCCGGCTAACGACCGACATGACTCCGAACTTACGAACTACATTTATAGAGAAACACAGTTTACTCACTTGACAGTGGTTTATATTTTTTTGTCATCGTTAACAAACTGTTTTATTTATAACGAAACGAAAAGACTTTATAGGTAGAGAAAAATAATAAAATAAATCTTAGCTTTAAAAGCTTTTTATTACATGTTAAAAGCCTATAATATTATAATTAACACTACCTCAACGTGAGTAGTGTTAGCCTAGTGGCTTCAGCGTGCGACTCTCAACCCTGAGGTCGTAGGTTCGATCCTCGGCTGTGCACTAATGGACATAGAATGTGCGCATTTAACATTAGCTCGAACGGTGAAGGAGAACATAGAGGCAACCGGGCTTGCCTTAGACCCAAAAAGACGACGGCGTATGTCAAGCATAGGAGGCTGATCATGGAACAGATACAAAAATCTGAGGCCCAGACCTAAAAAGGTTGTAGCGCTACTGATTTATTTTTTACTTTCTTAACGTAGCAGTAAATATTCGTTATTTGTTATATTTTGCTATTCAAGGCTTCGCCACTAAACGTTACATACACTTTGGACTCCTCAGATGCTTTTAACTTGATATGAGCTAAAATTTTTGCATCTTTACAAATGGGGACCCAAATGTTAGGTAAATTTCTTAAAAGCGTTATAAAATATATTGTATGTCCTTTTATATAATATTCTCAGTACAATTCAAATTTAGATACTTATGTATAAAGCTATATTTTCTATTGTAATATTAGAAGCTCAAATACCTGTAGCATATGCTGGTTCCAAATCATCTTCATCGTCCGTGTGATGTCGACTGGACGCGTGCGAGTGTGAGTGAGAATGTGAATGGTGCGGCACACCCACATGCACTGGTTGTATCGGCTGCTCATAGTGTTTATGATGATCCACGTACACTCTATGATGATGGGGGCACGGGACCGGGGGCAAATAGTCCGCTATTGTACCACCGCGGGTCAACGTCGACCCAGCACTTAGCGTCCCACCACCAGAACACGACGCTAACGCACTACGCACTGATCCCAGATCGAGGGATGGCCGTCTTGATAGTTCCCCGTAACTTTCACCAAATAGAGCGCTCGCTGGCACAGCGTGTCTTACTTCGTGATGATGGGAGTGTCCCCCGTTGGAAGAGGAGTGGGGGGAGGCAGAATGATCCCGACTGTCGCGGGAGGTAGACGCGGTGTGGATGATGCTCTCATCCTGTGTCTCCATGACCTCTCTCGCGGTAGGTGGGTTAGGGTGGGAATGCACTACGGATGTTCCCGCGCGGCGAGGGCTGCGGCCCCTGTCGGGGAGCACGGAAGACGCGGACCAGTATCCCCAAGCCATTGTGGCTGTTTTCGCGGAAGACTAAATTGACTGAAGGATTAACAACGTTAAGAGATATTGTAAATACAAATTATTTAAAGTGATGTTTCATTTCAGTTACACTTTAGAATATATAAGCTTTGGTTAGGAAATCGTTAATTAAGTATGAAAATTTAACAGCCCGCTTCTGGTTCTCTTTCTCTTATAAGATCAGGCTTTAGATTCTTTAAAATCGAAACAATACTTGTTTTGAAATGTAACCCAAGACCTCCAGGTATACAGCGTACGAATTACAACACAAAGACAGTAGGGCGTTGCCACTTTACTATAGTTGACAAATTTCATCAACAAAAATGAAACATACTTTAAATTTTTTTAGGTTTATATTAAAAAGTAGACAACCCTAAGATACACAACTGTAAACGAACCTAATCTCCTTTGACGTCGTTTGGGAGCAGCCGCCCGAATACGTAGTTCGGTCAAAAATATTTTGCAAACCGAGCCATATCATTTCAGCGACGAATTTCAACAACCTATTCATGAAATATTATTTTTGCTATTAAGGCGATCGCAATTTCTGTTTTTACGTCATTAAAATAACGTAAAGAGCTGTGTTAACCTAGTGGTTAAGCATGCATGTCTCGACCTTGGAAATTTTAATATTTTAATACTTGTGCGGTGAAGAAACCGGCATGATTCTTACTTGCCTAGAGAGAAAAACTTATGGCAGGGACTTAAAAACGTTGTTTACAAATATGTTTATAACCGTAATAGAAAAATATCTCTGTAGAAATACTTTTTAAATCCAATAGAAATAAATCGTTTCCGTCAAAAAATGTTAAAGGAAATTGCCAACTTATCTTCTAAGTTTTCTTATTTTTTGGAAGCCTTTCCAAAGCGGAAATTGGATAAATAAGTACTTAACTGATAATATAATTAAATGAAGTCAGAAACGATTTTATACAACGACATCTAGGGAACTTAAAAACATCAAAATCTTTAAAACACAGAAATAATATAAAATTGCAACAATAGGTATACTCATGATAACTGTTTAAATTTAAGGAAATATCTGGTCGCCAAACTAAAAAAAATTACATGTTTCCTTTTCATTTTTCGTCATCGTTTATTGAAGTAGGGCGAATGGAAAAAATATATGGTGGAGTTGAGTAGTTTATGTATCCATTTTGAAAGATCGATACGATTCAAATAACTTCGCTCGATAGAAAAAAATCCAAATATAACCAATTTTTGAAACTTTGAATTCATTTTATGACGAAAATGTATATATAAACATCATTTTGAAATTTACACGATATATTTTATCGCAAGCCTGGTAATCCATTTTAGAAAAAAAATGATAAAATAACATTAATTTAATGTTTTACATAACTAATTGTTATTACGGGCCAGCGCGCCTCAGTGCTACAGCTCTGCACTGCGCTCCGCAGTCCATCCCGAGGCACTGACACAGCAATTCGTGCTGGGGCTATAAACTTGTTATATAAATAAATATGAATTATGTCCCAAAGTTTCGCATTCGTCACAGCCAACGGGGTCTATGTGAATCATTAGATAACTTTCATTTAAAAAAATAATTCGACAACTGTTTAGATTACTATTATGTTAGACACTTCGGCGATATAAAACAAAGACTAAAGATGTCGGTACCCTATTAGTTACCATTGTTACGACGTTTTGTCCAGTAAAAATAATGGTACCAACAATGGTATTGTAGCCACAAAAATTCATTTTACAAGTTCCTAAAGAACTTCCAACTTCCGTTGCAGAATAAGATTCAGAGTCAAGACTCAGCATGACTCTCTCATCACGATGCTGCACTTTAACAAAACCCCTTTATGTGCAATCGAGTAAAAGAACTCTGCGTGCAGTGCGATTCGAGCGCTATGCGGCGTTACATAAATCAAACATTTGCTATTGGCACTTTTACGGCTTTTATATGAAAACCATGTTGCGGCCATTATCGTAAAAAGCTTTTACATAAACGAAACCCCTGTGTGATCGAAGTTATATACGTAACTATGATATACAGCTTAGTATTTTACGATTTGATTCTTAAGAAAAACCTCTATAGACGCTGTCGTTCAACAACAGAGCATTTCTTAAGGCAGTTTTTTTCGCGCACCACCACTATGTGGAATCAGCCCACTGAGGTAATTTCGAACCAATTTGACTTAGGGTCCTTCAAGAAAAGAGCGTACCAATTCTTAAGGGATGTAAAGAGTAGTTCTTTTATTGCGATATTAGGATAGTAGTTAAATGTATATTTTGCGTGATGGTATAATTTTGGGCATATTCATATGAGGAAATGAAATAAGAACTGATTTGTGTACTTATTCATTTTAATAGAAAATGTATTTTTAAAATACATTTACATTACATACATACATAAACATACATTTTGAGTTTATTTTTCCTTTATATTTTATTACGCCCATGGCATTAATTATTTTATTGATAACATCTTACTCAAAGAAATATTAAAAAATAAACAATACGTTTCATTATACGCAATTTCTCTTCGCATGTTGCAAACTATATTAAACCTGCAGGGTCGCAGATAAATAACTAAAAATAACACAATATAATACGGTCACTAGATATTGTATTTGAGCAAACATAATGGCGTTGATATAAGGTCAGGTTGCACTATTTATATCACTCTGAGTGTGAAAGAAGTTGATATCTTATCAAAAGGATATTAATTTCTTTTGGAAGAATTTTAAAGGACTCGTTCCAGATTCTCGGCAGCTTTTATGCGAGCAGACACATGTAGCTGTTCTGACAACAACATTGGACAGCTAAAAATAACCTGACCATGAAAAGAGCGTACTAAATATAAAAAGGCCGGCAACGCAATCGCGAGCCGTTTGGCATTGGAGTACCCATTAGCGGTGGCACTTAACATCAGTGGAGCATCCTGTCCATTTTCCCCCCAGCTGTTTAATCAAAAAGCCTAGTAAGGCTAAAAAAACAACCTCCAGCTTTACCTAAAAGCCTCGGTCTACACCCACGGTCTCATACGCAAATATCAGTAAAATAAAATAAAGCATATTATCATAATCAGTTAACATCCATACTTCTACTGAAAAGCGAAATTTTACTATCTTGAAAGTCAAATCAAATTATTTCAATTAGGCCTATTGAAAAGACACTTTTGAAAGTCAAAATTACAAGTTAAAAATAATAAAAAAAGACTAGTTGCCCCTTCCAAAAGGTAGTTTCATATGGAGAAGAATGGGCAATAAACTCAATACTTACTCGATTTGATAATTATATGTGAAAACCATGTACCTTTGAGCAATCACATTTTGAATATCGGTTTAATAACATTATTTTTGTATACGAATATTATGTAGCGAAATGGAAAAATCTGTTATCTATTAAATCCCTGGCGAACCGGCCGTATACTGTCATATTTGAAATATTCCATATTTTAATATGGACGCATAAATTATAACCTAATGTTAAATTCATTTTCCGTGTGGCTTTCCAACGTAATTGATTTGGTTTATTGAATTTATTATAAATAAAAATATAGTTATGGAATAGACACAACTACATCTGAGTTTATTGTGGCAAACTGTCCACTACGATCAGTTCATGTTATTCCTAATCAAATACAAAATCATTGATGCATAAATATCGAGTTACTCGGAAGCTATCGCTCATTAGTGACAAGGCCGCCCATTAAAATTCCTATGTTATATGTATGTAATGAAGTTTTAAATAAATAAAAGTCCAAAAATAACCGAATAGGAACATTATGGCCGATTTTCGTGTTGGTAGGATCAATATCGTGGAAAAAGTAATAAACGACACATACAAAAATATGTCTGACTCTTATTACAAGACAACGTTTCACAATGTACGGATAAGTTCTACATAAGTTCCAAATTAGCTATTTATTACTTATTGGTAGGATAAACACTATTGTTGCGTTTCACGACTGTCAGATAGTGCTAATTGTCACATAAAGTCCATCATAACTTATGAGTCCGATGAATGTCAAATAGCACAATTTATCTTCCAAATAATTTATGTGTTGCATAGCTATTTGTTACTTTATCCATACATTGTGAAACATACCCTTAATGTCTAGCCTTTCAAACCCTAAATAACAAATATATTATTTGACAGTTACTAAAATAGGCGATAACATAGACTCCCTCTACATTACAGTATAAAAAGGTCGCTGATATGAAAATGGAAATAACGTGTATGTCAATATTTCTATAGTCGGTTCATTTGAGTCGGCAGCGGGCGGTATTGTCTTTATGACGTTTAATATCTTCGAACACATGGTAAAATAAGAGTATATTCTAACAGTTCTTCAGATCTCGCGACTATCTGACCACCATGAAACACACAAAATGTCTGCTTCGAATCAATTCGTGTTTATATCCGTTAACGATTGGTGTTCCTGTACGTTTTGTTATTTATTTTTAAAGTCACAAGGATAAAACAGTCAAAAGATAATTGAGTGTAATAATCCGTTTGTAGAAAGCTAATAATGCTTTGACACAGGGAAATATTTAGTCTCATGACTTAACGCGAATTATGTAAAATCCAATAAATTTATGACATACCGTCACTGTACAAAAAAATATTTTTTATTCCTAGACTCTTATGTCATTTAAGTGGTATAGTCATGAAGTAAGGACTTATGTTATTAATAAAAAAGTCCTTTTTACCATTTAAAACTATGGACAAAAGCACATAATAATATTTTAACGAACATTGACGAAATGGAACATTTTTTTGACACAATAGAAACATTTTTGTTTCTCTAGACATACGAGGTTATCGTTCTACAGTTTACAAGTCTCGTTCCTGAATCAGAGGGTAAAACTCAGACATCTTAGGGTAAGTCTGCATAGAATAAAGCAAGGCTTGCATGAGAAATCAAAGCAGCAGACTATAGTCTGACTTAGGGTCAAGAAAAGAGCGTACCAATTCTTAAAAGGCCGGCAAAGTACGTGCGAGACCTCTGGTATGTG